CCCACTGGCGGCTAAATTATAACTACACTTTAACTAGTCAAATTTGACACTTATTTTGATTAGATGTCATTGTGACTTATTTTGTTTAGTTCTACTCACCTTTTGCAAGCTTTTAAACAAAAAGAAAATACGGAAAAGTGTGTAAGAACTGTTTTATTTATAGACCCAGAAGCACACGTAAAAGATTGGGATGTCGGGAAGGTATTCGTAATGCAATCGTGATTAACAATGACGAGTAATGTTTGAACTTGCGAATTGTTATTATTTGTTACCATGGAAACAATGCTTTATGGCTTTATGACTTATACTATTTTCCATGTCTAACTTCGATCAACTACATTGGAAAAATAAAAATCGCACTTCAATTTTCGAAAAAACTACACGATGTGATATATTAATGAAATCACAATGAAATTTTCTATTTGATAAAGGTAGAATCGAATGTGGATTCCATTAAAAAAACACCAGTTTACGTCACATGTCAAAAATGACAGTTCATTTGTGAAAGTTTCCTAAAACTTTTCTATTTAATGTTTTCTTGCCAGATTAACACTGACGAAACTAGACGATATTTAAACATCTGTCATAAATCAGTTTTCTTCAAACATCTCTAGACAGCTGCCAAATCTTGAAAAAAGAGAACCACTTTCGAATAGAGCAGTCAAAACGGCAATTTTTTGTCCATTTAACATTTTCGTATCTGCTGTAGTTTTCGAAAGGGAAAAAACCCTGCATTCAATCAACACTAATTTGGATTTTTGTTGTTGTTGGCATACTTTGCGCCATATCGGTATGTAAACTTAAAAACGGCCACCCTGTATATTTTATCCATATATCAACTAAATTGAATGACACAAAGTGGGCGATGAAAAGGGGAAATTTCCCAGCATGAACAATTAGACGTTCGCAGCCGCATTGTTTCGGCTTGCTGGCAAATAGAAAAACTCTTACCGTCGCTCCTTATGCTTTGTATTTGAGCCTCTAAAGGTTTGAACGCTTCAAGAGGTATTTGCTCGAAATGATTTCGGTTCAAGTCTAGAACTTTCAGCTCTTTGAGCAATCTGAATGCATCGGCTGCAACAGCGGAAATCGCGTTGCCTTGCAAGTACAGCTCGGTCAGGCTGTATAAGTAATTGAACGTTGTTTTCTTTATCCTGAAAATTGAGAAACAATTCGTCGAGTTTCCATTGGAATAATCCGCATATAGATTTCGTATGTTTCGCGCTTTATTACCTAGTTAATCTGTTAAATGACACGTCCAACACTTGCAACGATTGCATGTTTTTCGGAAAATCGTCCAATTCACTCAGCCGATTTTTGGTCACATTCAGCACCCGAATGCTGTTCAGTCCATACAGCCGTTCCTGAGGGATGATTTCGATTTGGTTCACGCCCAAATCCAGAGAGATCAGCTGAGTCAATGAGCTGAACGCTCCGGGGGATATTTTCAGGACACTGTTGTAGCTCAGATGGGCATGGAGTAGGGATGGGAACAGTTCAAATTCCTTGCTGGTTATAACTATGAGCTCACTGTGCTGCAAGTACATCTGGAAAAAGAATTCAGTAGAAGCAGGGCAAACTTTGCTCTCGAAAAAATGTCGGAGGAACATCTAGCAGGTATGCTTTTTACCTGGAAAGGTTCGCAGAATCAATGTTGTTGATAAAAATGCCCATAACGTATGTCACAAAGAAATATCAATTTTATTCCTGGGTTTCAGTCATTTATTGTCTCTATTTATCAATCAAAATACGTTTCGGTGTATTTTTCCACCATCATCAGTTTTTATGTGTAGCG